ACAGGCATTTCTAAGACACATTCTCCTGATTTCCCACAGCTGTAAACAACCCTGATCTGTACCCTCGTAGTTGCTTTTCCTCTGTAGTCCTTTATTCATGTCTTCTTAGAGCTATTCCTAAATAGAAGCTGTTTAGAAGGCACACTTACAAAAAAGGGATTCCAGAATGGGAACATTAACCTTTCCAACAGAGCTAAGGACCCCATTACTGTTGGTAAATGGAATGATAATCATCTCTGGCAGGCAGTTACCAAAACTCTTACCCATGCTAGTTCCTACTGTGATGCAAGTGAAACTAAAACATTGCCTTGTGTCAGTGTTTTTTAATAGGGGTGATTTGGCCCTCCAGGGGGCATTTAGCAATGACTGAAAACATTTTTTTTATTTTAAATATGTTTTTTTTTTAATTGATTTCAGAGAGTAGAAGGGAGAGGGAGAGAGAGAAACATCAAGGATGAGAAGCATTGATCCATAGTGAACAATAAACTCAAGGCACACTGTGTAAGACAGGAGGCCTCCAGCCCCCAATTTCTGCAGCCACAGGGCTGACTGTGCTATAAATCAAGCCCAGGATTTAGTTGATTTAATTGAAAGGGTAGGGGAGCCACCAAAGGTTTATGCACAGCTTTGACAGTCATGGCCCCGATAGGAAACACATAGAACCCTGGAAGAAAGAATAGGGACATTTGGGTAGATTGTGATAATTCCCCTAAACCTTCAAGGCAGCCACCGATCTCTCCTCCTTGCCTGGAATCCCTGCCAAGACTTCTCCTGAGGCAAGTGGCTCCAAAGAGACTGCTTATCCCCCTTAAGATGCTCTCCTATCTCTCCTCATCTCCTCCAGACCAATACCTCCTAGGGTTAGGTCTCAGCACAGCCTAAGTGCAGAAATACAGTGCCTGACCTACAAGGAAATAGCACACATACGTATTGAAAAAGTGACAGGTAGGAACAGGGATAATGTGTGCGTATTTATTAACCTCGGAGCACTCTCTCGTCTAGGTAAATCATTCAAGCAAAGACACACAAAACCATCTTTATATGCTTCTGACATGAGTCTTTGAAATTTGGGTACGATTGTGACCCACAGAAATGAGATGGTGATGCCAGAACTTTCTTGACAGAGTATGAAAGGAGTCAGAAGCCTCAAGGGAGTGAGAATGTTAGATTGTAATTATCATCCTCGACCAGAGAACCTGTCACCAATTTATATTTCAGAGGCAGGTCCAGAGGACACTCCCTTCACTGAGGCAATACAAAATGCACAGGTAAAGGATGCTTAGTGTCAGCGGACATGGTAGGACTAGAATAGCAGAGGCTGGATGGTGACACTGAATCAACAGAGGGAGGGTGGATCACAGTGGCAATCAGACTGCTTCAACCCAAGGAGCCAGTAGTGATGGCTAATAGACCACGGTGTTCCTAAGGGTGAATAATCGTGCAGATGACTGTGTGTTATTTATATAACACCCTTACCCCCTCCCCATGGGACATCATGAAACGAGGTGTCCAATATGAGTTGGGTTTTATCAGATTCTATCATGTCATAAGATTAAGCAGGTACGGTAGCAACCCACCTTCTAACAGGAATAAATGATAGAGTAGGGATCAGGGTTGAGCAGGTCCATAAGATTCATCATGTAAGTTAATGAACAGGTGCTTCTAACTCCTATGCCACCTACTTTAGCTATACTCACACTTCTCCCTTAACTCAAAAGTATGGTCTTGTGGGATTGTCCTCTATAACCAACTGGCAGGGGGAAAAATACTCAGGCCTGACAAACAGATGGGTCAGTTTGCTATCAGCCAAAAACTGGATTGTTACTACAACACAGCCCCACTTAGGGGTGGCCCTAAAGGGCAATGGTCGAGGGAAATTTTCCCAATGGCCCAGCTGTAAGAAGTGTACTTGGACATTCATTTTTTTATGGAAGGCAAAATGGTTCAAGATATGGATCTATATATACTCATAGGCAATGACAAATAGTTTAGTTGAATAATACTGTTCGTCTCTCACACCTGTGCATCCTGGAAAAGTGCAGGGGAGTTGACCAATGGAGCCAGAAGTAGGAAACAAATACCTCCTCATTCTAGAGCTCTTATAAGGTCCCAGGGGGATTGAGTCCCAGTCACCCAGAGCAAGGAGAATTGGGACAAGGCTAAGGCAAGCGAAATGAGTAAGGCATTGCCTCAGGTGCAAAATTTAAGGGAGCACAGAGAAAGTAAATAATTAATTTAATTACATTTCAGTATATTTAAAAAAATCAAAATCAGTATAAAATCCATGTAAACAAAATATTAAAATCTTAAGTACAGTATTGCTAATTTTTTTCCTTTGGCTTCTAGCTCCAATATGCCTCAGCATAGCACTGCCACTGATCCTGGCCATGGCCAGTGACCAGCTCAATTACAGTCTTGTGTTGGGCTTCCTTCCTTTTCTAGTTGCTCTTAGTCCTTCACTCCTTTCCCTAGGGTTACTTCTCAAAATAAACTACCTCCATGTAAGTTCTTGTCCCCAGCTTTGCTCTTTTACTACGGGAAGAGGAAAGAATGAAATCCAAGCTGACTAAGATAGTGACCACATTACAGTAAGTATTCACTTAATGTCTCTGATGGGTTCTTGGAAATGGCAACTTTAAGGAAAACAACGTATAAAGAAACCAATTTTAACATAGGCTAATTGATATAAACAAGAGTTAAGTTCCCATGACATTTCTGGCAAAAAATAATAATAATAAATAAATAATTAAAAATTAAAAAAAAAATTCACCAAACTTCTAAAGAAAGACCTCCAAACACTTCCAATAGAAAACATTGAAGTAGCCAAAACTGGTTTGGCTCAGTGGTAGAGCGTTGGTCTGCGGACTGAAAGGTCCCAGGTTTGATTCCGGTCAAGGGCATGTACCTGGGTTGCAGGCACATCCCCAGTAGGGGGTGTGCAAGAAGCAGCTGATTGATGTATCTAACTCTCTATCCCTCTCTCTTCCTCTCTATAAAAAAAAAAAAAAAATCAATAAGATATATATTTTTTAAAAAGAAAACATTGAAGTAAATGTAAGCTATACATACACTCAAAAAGAAAAAAAAATTAACACAAACAAGTAAGATTATTTTCCAATCCACATCTTCCAGTTCAGGGTCATAGGTGGCCAAAGACTATTCCAGGTGCTCAGAATGCAAGGCCAGACCCCACCCTGGACAGGACACCCTTCCATCGCAGGGTCTCTCTCTCTCTCTCTCTCTCTCTCTCTCTCTCTCTCACACACACACACACACACACACGCACGCACGCACGCGCGCGCACGCATAAACACAAACGCATGCACACTCACTCATACTGGGATGATGGAAACAGGTGAACTAGCCTTACTTGCACATTTTTGGGATGTGGGAGGAAACCAAAGGACCTGGAGAGAACTCACGCAGACATGGGGAAAGATGAAAACATCGCACAGACGTGGCCCAGGCTGAAAATGGACTTTTTCCCCTCACCAACGTAACAGAATGACATTGAATTTGAGGATGTGATAAATATATATACATTTTAAAGAAGAATACTTTCAAACGCAAAGGGAAGAGCTATTAATAATTTCGTTGGATTACTAAGCGTAAATCAGAGCTGTCCTGGCACATGGGGACATATGGTCTTATTCAGACAAGGAAACTGAGGCAAGTGAAATGAGTGAGGCCAGGCTAAGAGGAGGGGTAAGACTGGAGGCTACAAAAAAATGAGGCAGAAATGTCCCTCAGCCTGTAAAGCGGGGGCTGGAGAAGCAAACAAACAAACTTGAACAAAATCTCCAATTTGACAGGCCCTTCAATCTGTCGATTTCATCTGCCTCATGAGCCCCCGGACTCTGACAGCAGCCCCCCGCCAGCAGAGGGGACTTAGGCCTGGTCACGGAGCAGACTGTTGTCCCAGCTCTGGTTACCCCGTTAGATCTAGGCGACAGACTGGATTCTCTCCTCCTCCCTTCCTCCCTCCCAGTTCCTGGACTGGGGGCGGTCCCTTCTGCCAACGGGAGGCCTTCCAGCCCAGATGGCTCTGGCAGCCACCCCAAAAGAGCCCTGGGGGGTGTGGAAAGAGCGAAGGGATCCAAACGAGAATCCAGGAGTGGTGACAGTAGCGTCTCCATGCAGTGCTCTCACAGTGGTGGCCAGGCTTCCTGCTGAGTCCTCCAGGGGCCCGCGAGGACCCTGGCACCACCCCCGCCCCCACCCCCCTCCGTCCCAGCCTCTCTCTGACGCACAGTGACCTTGCCCGTCCCGCCCGGGCCCCGGGCCTGTTTCCCCTTTTTCAAGGTGAGGCTCCTAGGCTTTCCGAGAGCGCAGCTCCGGAGGCCGCGGGCCGGGGGCCGAACCCAGCCCTCCCGGGACCGGCGGCGGGTGTGCGCCCCGCCAGCCGGTGCGGGCCGCGGGCGGGCGCGGCGTGCGTGCCCGGGAGAGCGCGCGCCGTCCCCGCGCCGCACGCGCTTCCCGGAGCTCCGATCCCACGGACCCGCGTCCGCGTGAGGCCAGCGGGTCGGGAAGGGCCGCGGGGAGACCTCCGACCCGGAGGGCCGAGAGCCGACCTCCCCCAGACTTTGCTCTGCAGCCTCTGCTCCTCCCTCTCGCCCGCTCTCTCCCGGGGGCGCAGCTCGGGGCCGGGCAGGTGGCTCCGCGCTGCGGGGTCGCCGGGGACGCGGAGCCCCGGAGCCCAGCTTCCTCCCCGCGCGCAGGTAGCCCGCGGAGTCCCGCAGGTAGCCCGCGGAGTCCCGGCCCCTCTGCGGGCTCGGGGTCGCCGGCGGCGTTCGGAGCGGGGCCTGGAGGCGGAGCCGGCCCGGAAGCCCCACCCCAGCGAGCCCGGGGCCCGGCCCTCCCCAGCCCTCCCCAGCCCTCCCCAGCCCCGGCCGGGATGGGGGTGTGGTCCCGAGTTTCTACGGTGGCTTCCAGCTTGGCGTCCAGATCCCGCGGCAGGTTTCCCGGGAGCCGGCCCGGGCCGCGCGTTCCGATTCCCGCAGCCCCCGCCCCCGCCCCCCAGAGCGCCGGCCCCGGGAACGCCCTCGGAGAGCGCTCCGGCCCCTGCAGCCGCCGCGCGCAGAGCGCCGCTGAGCCGCGGCGGGGAGCATGCGGGACTACGACGAGGTGACCGCCTTCCTGGGCGAGTGGGGGCTCTTCCAGCGCCTCATCTTCTTCCTGCTCAGCGCCAGCATCATCCCCAACGGCTTCAACGGCATGTCCGTCGTGTTCCTGGCGGGGACCCCCGAGCACCGCTGCCGGGTGCCCGACTCCGCCAACCTGAGCAGCGCCTGGCGCAACCACAGTGCCCCGCTCCGGCTGCAGGACGGCCGCCCGGTGCCGCACAGCTGCCGGCGCTACCGGCTCGAGGCCATGGCCAACTTCTCGGCGCTCGGGCTGGAGCCGGGGCGCGACGTGGACCTGGAGACGCTGCAGCAGGAGGGCTGCCTGGACGGCTGGGAGTTCAGCCAGGACGTCTACCTGTCCACCATCGTCACCGAGGTGGGTGTGTGCAGACCCTCTACCCGCGTCCGTCCCCATCCGAAGCTCCCCCGGCGCTGGCTGTCCCACCACTGGGCTATGCTTCTTAAGTAGGATTTCAGGTGAAGAGAACCGAACTCACATTAAGCGCATTCTTCTTGATCTTTCTGTTCGGTATGGAGGGGATGGAGAAGGGCGTGTTATGGCCAACTGTCTTCTCCTTTTAGAGTTGCACAACAGATGAAGTTGTTTCTCAAGAGCCTCGATGCTGCCCTAGAGAGGCCCAACCCCAGGCTCCCCAATGTACAGGCCGAGTCACGTTCTGACACAGGCAGGAGGGGAGTGTAGGGGACGCGGCTGAGCTCAAGTGCAGTCACAACTGGGCAGGTCTGCCTGCTGGTGGCCACCGGCTTGTGGAAGCATCCGGGGCCTGCTGCCCTCACGTGCCTATGGTGAGGCCTGAGCTCCAGTTTCCCTGGGAAGGAGCTGAGGTCCTCCTGATGCCTGCTGGGTGCAGGGATCAAAGGAGGCAATAACCATGGCCCCAGGGCACTTAAGAAGAGACAGACACGCAGAGACCCCTCTGAGGACAGGACCCAGTGGTGGATGGGGGTTTCAGCTTCCGTCACTAGCCCCTTAGCCTCCTGAGTGACTCTGTGGCAGGTTTTCCGAGCTTCGGAAGTCGGGATACAGACAACTTCACTCCCTGCATTTCCCGCTGTGCCCTGGGTAAAGGCCAGGAGAAGCTGGGTCAGGGCACGGGTCCTTCTGAGAAGGGTATCCTCACAGACTAGTTTCCTGCTATTGGTTGGGCAGGTAGGAGTCCCCAGCTTCTGGACCCTCGTCTGCTCTGTGTTCCTCCCAAGAAAAACCGGAGGGTGGCCTCTGCCCGCCCCTCCTTCAGCACAACGGGGCAACCACCAGGCCCCGTGGCTGGCTTTGAGCTGGGCGCTAGGCTGTAGACATCTCAGAGGTCGGAAGCCCATGGGGGCATCCTGGCCAGGTTACAGAGAGGGCTAGCGTCAACGGGGTTCTGGAGCCTGAATTCCAATCCTGACAGGCTTGCTCTGTGACCGGGGGCAAATATATTACCCTCTCTGTGGGGAGAACATGGTGAGGAAATACTCCAAGGATAAAATCTGAGCAAAGTCTGGAAACACGAGCAGGACTTATCCAGGCAAAGGGCGTGGCAGATCCCGGGAATGGGATTTTATAGGTCAGGGTGCCTGGAGCTCAGAAGATGGCAGGTGAGGCTAGAAACGCCTACAGAGGCCAGTTCCCGGGGGGCCTTGTAGGAACGCAGAGGAATTGACTTTTTTCCAAGAACAATGAGGGCTCTAAGCAAGGGGTAACATGGCCAGATTTGTGTTTTTAGAAAGAGCTCACTCTAGCTGCTAAAAAGCAAGCAGATTAGCGAGGAGGCTGTGGGAGTTGCTTTGGCAGAGCATGGTGGCCAACCAGGAGTGGTGGCTGCAGCATCTACAGGACCTATGGAAAGTGGGCCCCGCCTATGGGCCACCTCAGGTTCCCCCTGGCATTGGTGCTATGCCGACCTTAGACCCTAAGGAGTCACTCTTCTTTGATTCCCTAACAGGGCCTCCTAGTGCTTGCCCATGCCCTGCCTACATCCTGGCCCGGGGCACCTAAGACTGGAGGCCAGTTCATCCCACCTCAGTTCCTGGAAGCATCGTCAGCAGCTAAGCTGCAGCTGGCCGAGCTGGCTGCTGTCTCCTCCCTGGCAGCTGTGTTGACCAGTCTCTTTTCCCTTCCTTTCTGGTTTTGTTCCACTCAGGTGTCAGGGGTGGGTAGCTGCTGGCCTCCAAGTACATAGCTACCCTGTTGTGCCCTGCTTAAGAGAGGGGGCCTGTGGGATGCTCTTCATCTCTCACACACACACACACACACACACACACACACACGCACACCAGGATTTGGTTTTTCCCCTCCTTGTTGCCTTTTTGGGTGGTGGGAGTCAGGTAAAAGGCAAATGGGCACTGGCGGAAGGTGGGGGAAGCCCCAGGGTGGCTGGAGGGGGTGGTGGCTCTCCCCAGACAATTGGTGGCACAGGAGGAGGGAGTCTGGAATCTGACTGGAGCCTGGGTTCTGACCACCACTAACCACCAGGCTGGCTTCAGCATGTTACAGTCACTGCTCAAAGCCTCTCTTTCCTTATTTACAAAAGGGGATACCTGTATGAAAAGGTGATAACTGATAGGGAAATACAGATGCAAATCAAAACCACAATGAGATATCACCTGACACCCACTAGGATGGCTGTGATTTAAAAAAAACAAAAACAGCTGAAACCGGTTTGGCTCAGTGGATAGAGCGTCGGCCTGCGGACTGAAAGGTCCCAGGTTCAATTCCGGTCAAGGGCATGTACCTGGGTTGCGGGCACGTCCCCGGTAGGAGGCGTGCAAGAGGCAGCTGATCGATGACTCTCTCTCATCGATGTTTCTAACTATCTCTCTCTCCCTTCCTCTCTGTAAAAAACCAATAAAATATATTAAAAAATAAAAAAAAAAACCAAAGGGAAAATAAGTGTTGGCAAGGATGTGGAGAAATTGGAGTCCTTGTGCACTTTAATGGGAATATAAAACGGCGCAGGCACTATGAAAAACAGTATAGCAGTTTTTCAAAAAATTAAAAATAGAATTACCATATGACCCAACAATACCACTTTTTGGTATATATACAAAATAATCGAAAGCAGAGTCTTAAAGAGATATTTGGACACCCATGTTCATAGCAGAATTATTCACAATAGCCAAAAAAGTGGAAGTAACTCAAGTGTCCATCAACAGTGAATGAGTAAATGAAATGTGGTATATATGTGCATCTATCTTTGTGTGTATATGGTAGCTTCCTTCCAAAGGGGCTGTTTGTGAAGTCCAATTTATTTGTCCTTTGAAGTAACTAAGAATTACTTTTTATTAAACTTTATTTGGAAATAATTTTTGATTTAGAGAAAAGTTGTGAAAATAGTACAGAGAATTCCCTTCACCCAGATTCCCCTAATGGTCACAAGTTACCTATATTAATAAAAGAGAAAGATGCAAATTGACTAAACCTTTGTGACACCCACCAGCCAATCAGGAGTGAGTATGCAAATTAATCCACAAAAGATGGCAGGTTAATTTGCATGCACAGGCACCCAGCAGCCCAGGGTGGGACACTTACATTGTCACCATGGCGACAACACAGGCGTTTAGCAATGCCCCAGCATCTCTGGGCCTCTGGGCAGCAAGGGAAGGCCGAAAGACAGCTCTGGGCAGAGCAAAGTCAGAAAGGGAGCTCCGGGCCAGAGCAAAGGCTATGCCAGCAGGCAGGGTAAGGAAGGCCCATTCCTTTTTTTTTTTTTTTTTAATATATTTTATTTATTTTTTATAGAGAGGAAGGGAAAGAGATAGAGAGCTAGAAACATCGATGAGAGAGAAACATCGATCAGCTGCCTCCTGCACACACTCCACTGGGGATGTGCCCACAACCAAAGTACATGCTCTTGGCTGGAAATTGAACCTGGGACCCTTCAATCCGCAGGTCGACGCTCTATCCACTGAGCTAAACCAGCCTCAGCGGAAGGCCCATTCTTAAGGTGACCAGACGTTCCGCTTTTGGCGGGACAGTCCCGATTTTTAACAATTTGTCTTGCGTTCCTCGGCGTTTTAAAAAAGTCCTGATTTTGCCGAATCCGGTTTGGCTCAGTGAATAGAGTGTCGGTCTGCGGACTGAAAGGTCCCAGGTTTGATTCCGGTCAAGGGCATGTACATTGGTTGTGGGCACATCCCCGATAGGGGGTGTGCAGGAGGCAGCTGGTCGATGTTTCTCTCTCATTGACATTTCTAGCTCTCTATCCTTCCTTTCTCTCTGTGGAAATCAATAAAATATTAAAAAAAAAAAAAAAAAAAAAAGTCCTGATTTTTAGAAAGAAAGGCAGGACGAGGGACAAATTGTTAAAAATTGGGACTGTCCCGCCAAAAGCGGGACGTCTGGTCACCTTACCCACTGCATGAATCTTTGTACATCAGGCATCTAGTATAACCATAATTTATTTATTAAAACAAGGACATTAACATCGGTTACAACATTATTGACTAAATTTCAGACCTTGTTCTAATTTCACCAGTTTTTCCAAGAGTGTCCTTTTTCTGTTTTAGGGTCCGGTCCAGGATTTTACATTGTATTTGGTTGTCATGGCTCCTTAGTCTCCTCCAATCTGTGATAGTTGCTCAGTCTTTCCTTATCTTGATCTTGACACTTGTAATGAGTCTCCTTCATTCTGGATTTGTGTAATTTGTCTCACCATGAAATTGAGTTTGTGAGTTTTTGACAAGAATACCATAAAGTGATGTGTCCTTGAGCCATCATACCAGTGGGTACCTGGTATCGATATGGCTTATTACTTGATCACTTGTTTAAGTTGGTGTCTGCTGGGTTTCGCCATTGTAAAGCTACTATTTCCCCCCCTTTATCATTAATGAAAACTTTGGTGGAGATACTGTGAGGATATACAAATGTCCTGTTTCTCCAACTACAACAACTATTTCTGTGGCATTTGCCCTGTGGTGATTTTTGCATCTTCTACATTCTTTGCAATTTATCAATTGGAATTCTGCAAAGAAGAGCTTCTTCTTCACTCCCATTTGTTTATTTATACAATTATTACTTTATATCAGTACAGACTCACACATATTTATTTTGTTTCATGAGTTATAATCCATTACTATCCTTATTTATTCTGTTGCTTCAGTTGTACCAGTATGAACCAAATTATTCTTCACTTTAAGGATAAAGAATGTAAAAGTCAGGGCAGGGTCATTTGTCTGTCGCTGGAGTCAGGGCTAGAGAAGCTGGCGCTTGTCCCAGGGAGGAGATGTGCCAGCCACCACCGAACAGGAGCAGGAACAGGAACCAGTGGAATCTGGCCCAACAGGTTGAGACTGAAGCTTCTGTTGGGGAAGGAAGGGACCCCAAACATCCCAGACCGGCTGGTGATGGGTGCTTCTCACTGAGACCTCCTG